AGAGTAGATGCTGCTGAACCCGCATCTGCAGTTAAAAGTGCAGTTAAAAGTGGGACTGGGACATATGAGTTGTATACCTCAAATAGAAGGCCTGTCACAGAAGCTGAGACTAAAAGGGCCCATGACTTGGCTCAGGCAGCACGTACCAACGACAGTTTGGTTGTAGTCATGCGACCCTCGCATGTGTACAAGAGATTCTTTGTGGTAAACCATTGCCTTACAATCTTTACTTTTGAAACCTAGTTTCAATTTTAATATAGTGCATGTTGGGATAATCATTTTGAACGTACTTTTGATAAGAGGTGCAATGATAAACCAAACAAACTTTTGAATGTATACTTTTGATAAAGGGTGCAATGGTAGCCCAAACATACTTTTGATAAGGGGTGCAATGGTAATCCAAACATAGGCATATTCTGCTGGCAATTTTCAAACTTGTTGCAGTTGTGTTTTAGTTTTATTCATTGTGCCCTTGTTTTTTGGTGACTAGTCAATGCCCAATAGGTGGATTGGAGACTATGTCTCACCAACATCTCAAGATGTTTTATTACGCATGGGCAATGGTGAATGGATCGCCAGATACAGCTACCATGCTATTCGGCACACTGGAGGACTAACTGGTGGGTGGAAACATTTTGCCCTGGATAATAACCTTGAAGAGTTTGATGTTTGTGTGTTTAAACCAGCTAGCAAAGAGAACGACACTTTGGTGATTGATATGACCATTTTTAGAGTTGTTGAGGAGATTGTTCCTCTCACTGCCGTATCCCCTGCTGGAACTGGAAGAAGGGGTAGGAAGCCAACAATGAAGACTATTCTGACAGAAACTTAGTCCATCGTGAGGGGTAGGTCTTTGTAGGACTTAGTAGTTGTCTCTTAAGATTACAGTCTAAGTTCACCAGTTATGTATAGCCTGAATGTTGTGTTGGCTTGTCTAGTGGATCAGTCTTATAAGGAGGTAATATAACATATATGTACTTTCTAATGGTGTGCTATTAGAGCCTCGTGGGTTAATATGAATTCATCAGCCATTGCAATTTGCAGAATTTTTAGAAAAATTGAGTTTCAACTAAAGAGAAACTAGGAAGATGGAAATAGTCCTGGGTTCTTGAAATTTAATCAAGATCATGATTCTGTTTGAAAATGAGAAACTAAGAATTTTCATTCATGTCCAAAAAGCTAAGAAAATATAGCTATAAAAATGACCCTCCAAGTGTCATCATCTAGTATTTAGGGAATAAAAATATAAACTATATAATATTCTAATTTCATCCTATTAACCCATTTGATTTAATTTCTTCTTCTGGGCCTTTTAAGGCCGATCCTATCACATGCTACAAGTGCTAAATAAAGAAAAGACAATTTTTTTTTCATTACTAAAAAGTATTTTCGTCGAATACGGGAAAAATTTTCCTTAGGGTTTAATAAACACTAAATAGGTGGGCATTTCCTCCTAACTTGAATATGCTACATCTGTAAAAGTTAAGATTCAGATCTAAGACACTTGGTTTAGTGACATGAGTTTTTAGGCACTCGTGCTGCAAGTTATTTGCATATTAACTATACATCTAATGTTATGCAAGTTTATTTATTTATTTATTGTCATGTCACAAGTATCTCACAACTTATTGGGGGAAGAGATTAATCTTGTTTGTTGTACATTATTTGCTCAGACATGACAAGTTTTTGGCTCATGGCGTGATCGATCATCTACTAAATAGAAAGTCACAACAATGTATAAGTACATAATGTCAAACCACTATGCTAACCATGTTGTCCAAATTATTCATTACGCTAACCTATTAAGTTAATTATCCACGTTTACTTGCTTTTTCATTTCTTATTTTTATTTTCTGATTTCACCTTTTAATTATAAAATTGTTACTTTATTTTCAATTTGTATCTTTGTTTTCAAATATTTATACACGAACTAGATAATAACAACTTTGAGTAAACAAGAAAGTTTTTGTTTTCTGTTTTCATTTCTTAATTATAAAACTCACATTGTTTTAAATCTATTTTCTGTTTTCAAAGATTTGATTTGAAAAAGAAAAAAAAAAAGTTTTCAATGTTTATTATCAGGAAACGATCCAGAGAGTTAACAAAGGGGGCCCAAAAAAAAGTTTTAACCTTTAAAATTATTTAAATATTTAATTTTAGATAATGTATTACATTAATTAAAATTTCCAAATAATAAATGTTTATAACAAATAATGAAATTTTAAATATTGTTCATTATGTCTGTAATGATTTTTTAATATATTTTTCCCAACCAAATTTATTTTTCTAACAATTTATGTTAAAATATTATATTTACTAAAATGTTATTTCTAAGGGAAGGAGGGGACATGGGTAGTCCCTGCCCTCCTCTGTATCCGTCCCTATCTATTATACAAATATTTGAAAACAAAATAATTTTGTTTTCGGTGTTTACTTTGAAAAAACTTGAAAACTGAAAACAGATATAAAAAAAAAGATAACAAATTTGTAATTATAAAGTGAAAAGAGAAAATAAAAACACAAATAAATAACCTCCTAAATTAAGACAAATACTTGAAAGTTCAGTAAATTCACCAATCTATTCTTCTGTTTTTGAGAGATAAATAACAGCGTCTTTGAAAATGGTGATGAATGTACATGCTTAACTCTCAATTTGCAAACTTCATATGAACAAGAGCAGATTTTTTCTATCATGCCCAATAGATGAAAAATAGAAAAGAAATCCAAAATTATCATAAAAAATGCGTCATATTAATTACTACATGTCTACGTTGAATTGGTTACTTGCAACACCATGGATTCAAGCAAAATAAAATAAAATAAAATGCACGGATATTATAAATGTGTTTAATTTGGTATTTAAATTATGTAAACGTCTGGTAACACCTTTCTTGCTTCTCAATTCTTACATTGAAAAGTGGGAAATTATGATTATATTTACAAAAACGTGCATCCAAACATGTTATTTATATATAAATATAATATACTATATATATATATATATATGATGTAACTATAGTTAATTCTTAAAAATATAGAATACTATATGTTCAAGATACATACTAAAAAAAAAAATTAAAATAGAATAATGTTATGATGATAAATATTAATAAATAATATAATAGAACGATGCTAAATTTTTGATAAAATAATAAAATAGAGATAAGATAAAAACATTTATTTTATTTAACTTATTTCAATATAAGAATTTCATCTAAATTAAAATATATTAAAATTTTAAAATTAAAAGAAAAAACGTAAAAGACAAAAGGTAACGTGCTCAGCACTCCAAAGATTAGGATTCAAAATTTTGAAGGCAAAAAAAAAAAAAAGTATAAAAAAATTAAAAAATAATATAAGATAAAAGATACCGCTTGGGAACTTTTATCAGTTGGATCTTGCTAACTAAGTAAAAGTACAAATTTATGACTCTGGCAAGAGTAGAAATCATCTATCTTATTATCATAATAATCTCTCATTAGTTCCTCCATTAAGAACCAATAAAAAAATATGCTCATTTATGACTCTTAATAGTTGTTAATCTATAACAACTCATTATTATCAAGAAATTAATTAAATTAATAGGATAATTAAATCATACATAAATTCTTATATAAGTCACATAATATTTTTTTCAGTATTCTCTCACTTGGCTCATATACTCTTTAGGGATTATCCTTATCACCAACAACTAAAAAAGACCATTTAACTTAAAGCTTAAAATTCCTCAAAACCATATAGAAATTATCATACATGAATCATGACGGTTATATTTCAAATAAACACTTTCTTCCATGTATTACAATGCATAATACTTTTTAATAATTGAAATAAGTCTATACAATATTGAGGGGAAACAATTGAGGGGCCATTCCATTCATCTCGTCAAAATTGTTTGGAATGTGACCACAAGTGAAGCTACATGGGAGTTGGAAGACAAGATGAAGATTCAATATTTGTTTCTCTTCCTAAGTAAGTTAATTTTCGAGGAAGAAATTTTTTTTTGTTAGGGAGAATTATAACACTGTCATTTCATAACTCTATTGTTTGACTTGACAATTACTGTTAAGAGCTCTGAGTTTGAAAAACCCTCTGAGCATGTTGATCTCTAGAGAGTTGGACCAGAAATAAGTGGAGCCAGCTTAGGAAAGGTATAGAAAAAAGATTTTTCAAAGGAAGCCCATAACTCAAAAAAAAAAATCTAAAGAACTTTAAAGAGAAGCTAGAGAAGGGATTACTTTTCTTCTTTCTTTCTTTCTTTCTTTCTTTCTACATTTTTACTTGAACCCTTCATTTTCTACCATTTTCGCAATTGATCATAAGAGGTTGGTAGGAAGTCGAGCTGCGGGGTTAGAAACTACAAGCCAGTGGTGTGTGGAGCCGCTTCTCTTCTTCTCCTTTTGCAGATTTAAGTCTCTAAGAGGTAAAGGAAGTTGTGATTTTGAATTAGGTGTGCAATCTATGTTGATGATGATTGAAATGAATCAATTTAAGGTGTTGAGTGATTGAATGAGGAAGTTGAAAGGGGTTTTGTGGGTTGTGTTTTCAAAGGTGTTCATGGAGGTTCATGCTTGAATGATGATTGATTTTAGTTGCATGTTATTTTTGGTGATAAAGTTATGTTATATATGTTGTATAAATGTAGTTTATTATGTTGCATGCTGTGAGAATTTGTTGAATTTTTGGAAATTGTTAGAAATCGAGTTCTGCACAAGTGCAAAATCTGATATGTGTCAGGTGTGCCTTCAAGGTGTCGGATGTGGTTCTAAAGGAGAGGTCTCTGTCACACTCCCGTTGGGCATAGGATCGGTGGTACCAGGCATGAGAAGAGAGATTCATCTCGGGTTGGAATCTCGCTATGCATGGGTTGAATGACATTGAACGTGAGGAGAAAGACTTGTCTATGCTTGGGTTTACACCAAATGCTAGGATGTATGGCGTCAGGCTGAGTTAGGCAGAGAGTTTTCTACCTAATCAAAGTTGGGCGTGGGTGTTACCACACCAAGTGTGAAAGTGTGGGGCACTCTTTGCCTCAATCACGCCGAGTGCTAGTGGTGTGACACCGGGTGTGAGTGAGACATGGAGCTCCCTGCCTCAATGACATCAGACGTCTAGTGAGTGACAGCGAACATGAATTGTATGATGAAAAATTGATTGTTAAAGTTGTTTTTACAATTAATGAATGATGAATAAGTTGTATAAGTGGTATTAGAAAGATGTATGATGTTCATATTGTTTAAGTAATATGTTGTAAAGTTGATTTTCTTAAATTGTTTAACAATTGAATTATGATGACATAGTTGTATGAATGATGATGCAAAATGATATGAGTTGATGTGAAGTAAGTTAACCATGTTGTAATGTTGTGCGCTATTTTAAGTTGCCTAAGTTTATTCTTGAGGTTGTTTTATGAAGTTTCTCATGTTGTAAAGGTTGTAAGATGTTTACATTATTTAAGTTGTATGTTGTTAAAGCTAAGAAGTTGAATGTTGAAAGATAATGAAGTTGTTAAGTTGATAAGCTATTGATATGTCGGTTAGATACATATCTTAGCTACGATACATAGAAACTAGAGGGGAGTCACTAAAGATGCTTTTAAACTTAATATCCCATTGTGAGGATATACATTACAGTGCTCTAAGAGTCCAATTGATACCTTTCAACAGGTAAGTTGGCCTTCGAATGGATAAGTTATTTTTCATTTGTCTCCTCTAGGTTCTATGTGGTATCCGTGTGTGGGCAAGGTTGAAGTAGACATGTATAAAACGATCAACCGAGTAAAGTACTGAGTCGGGGGCTTAGTCTTTAACCTAGTATTGGAGGGTTGTGGTATTTGGAGAATATTTGGTGGGCTAATCTCATAGGTAGCTTAGTGTTGCAGACTAATATTGTGGTAAGCGCATACCAAAACTGTTATATCCTGACATAGTACCATACTTCCTTGTTTAAATGGTGAAACTTGAGAAATCAATCTAGCCTTGTGCTAGCCGTTGTTTTTGGCCTCAGTGTCAACCATTGTTTTTGGTATTTATACCAGTCATTATGATTCAGTAGGATCAAACTACTTAAACTATTCAACCTAAGATGTAAGAGATCTCCATAGTTGATATACGTGACGA